GTGAGCCACCGCGCCCGGCTTCAACACAGTTTTTCTCACTCCAGAACAGAGCCAGCTGTAAGAGCAGGAAGAACTGGCCATCTCAGGGCTCTCTTCCTACCCCACTCACACACACAATTCATAGATTTGCAGGTTTTCCTAGGACCGTATGTTTCTTGCTTGAGAAGAATAGATTCAGATGTCAGAATTCCACCTGCTTTTAAAATGCTTACCAAAAAAAAAAAGAGAAAGAAAAAATCACTGAAGCAATCCATGCCCACGCTAATTTAGACAATACAGGGTTTAAAGTACAAGTTCCTGCTAACCCCACTCCCTGGGGACAATTGCTGCTTTTCACAGATTTTCACCTGCTTTTAACATTTCAAAGAGAGCTGTCAACTTCTTACTTTAAAAAAGGAAGAAACACCTCTGGCTCTTCAGAAAATTCAAAATCTCATGTTGCACTGAGAGAAGTGAAAATGAGAAGCATTTTAACAGGAACACCTGTTAGTTTTGAGCATATGCAGTTTGGGTACAAAAATAATACTCAAATTTGAGGCTTTGAATGATTTCCAAAGTTGATTTTGAAAGCTTGGCCGCCTTCCTGAGAAAAAAGTCTCCAGAGACACACCCGACACCCTGGGGAATTCACAAGGAAGAACAATTTTTCAAGTCAAATGTGTAATTTCCAAGACCAGTTAGAGAACTGCCTGAAGCACCCGCACCCTTTACGGTTAGAGCACTTTTGGCCCGAGTCCCACGCTTCTCTCTCAGCCGCCACGCTGTTCTTCCAAGAGTGTTTTATGGGCCTCTTGATGGATCAGAAATGACTCTCTCTCCTTTATTTGCTCAGCAAATTGCAGATCAGCTTATATTGGAGGGTGGCACCATGCTTCCCTTGTCTTCTCATTTTATTCTGTCCCCAATTAAGGGAGGCAGGCATTCACTGTTTGTTTTACTCGACAAGGGAAAGTAAAGTTCCCCTTCAGTCCACAAAAGAGGTGATGGGAATTTCTAAACTGGAACCAGGTGTGTCTGACTCCAAAGCTGAGGTTCTTTCAGAGTTCCACTGAGAGCTTGTGTACAGTTGAAAGTAACCCACAACATTGACGTTTAGCTTACACTCCACTCCCAAATTGAACAAAAACCTGACAGTTTCCTCTATTTTTTTTTTTTTAAAGGTTATTCAATCGTCTACTTTTTACAATTAGTCTGAACTTCCTTGGAAGCTCCCAACTCACCGAATCTTGCCTCTGGGCATCCTGCTGCTGGGTCAAGGCTGGTGTATTGGGGTCTGTTCCTTCAACTCCTGCCCTTGCTGGTTTCCTTGGCTCCCACTGGGGCTGTGGATTTCCCACTGTTATTCACATGCCCTGGGTTGGTCTGTCATGGTGGCCGCCAGCAGGCCTGCAGTTCCTCCACCGCGAACATGCCAGAATGTCATGATCTCTACCATGCTACAGAGGTTCCCAGAGGGCTAGAAGGCATTAGCTTTTCTAATCTTCCGTGGTTGGTGTTGGAGCACCTGCGAAACTACAGCAGGGGTGGGGAAACTTCTCATGTTGGAAGCCGCATTAATTTAGCTGTGATCAAATAAGGCCGAATTCAAGAAACTTCAGTTAGATATACTTAAGAATGTGCATTATTTTGTAAAAACCTAACTACTATGTACTTAGTAATTTCAAAAATGAAAACTATTGGCCGGGCGCGGTGGCTCACACTTGTAATCCTAGCACTCTGGGAGGCTGAGGCGGGTGGATTATTTGAGCTCAGGAGTTCGAAACCAGCCTGAGCAAGAGCGAGACCCCGTCTCTACTAAAAATAGAA